ATAACAAAAAAACATAAATAAACTTGATAGTTAAGGTTTATTCTTTGTTTATGGCGAATGCTCAGATAAAATATAGGCAAAACTATGATGTTTTTGTTTTCATGAACACACTGTCCTTACACAGGCACCCATTGTTAACCAGCTATTTAAACATTTGAGGTCACAAATAGGCATAAAATTGGTGTGAAATTGTTTAGGTACAGTACCGGTACTGAGGGATTAGGTATTTTGGACCTGTACCTAATCAATTTTTCCGGTACAGTATCGGTACTGCGTACCGGTACACAGCTCTACTTCTGATATATGTAAATACTTTTATCTAATAATGCATTCGCTAAACAACGCCAAATGGTATCTACTAATATAGATCTATGTAAATATTAATGCTTTTAATCTATTCCAGCACCTACGCCCAATGTTATCAACTAATGTAGATCTAGTATGTAATGTTGTAAATATATTTCGGCACCCACCCGCCATTTTTAACTTAATATTTTACTACCATTTATGCTGTTATGATATAATAGTTAGGCCACAATGTAAACAGTCCACGACTTCAGCCGTGGCTGCCAAGTGGAATCTTTGTATTTGAAACAAATATATTCTGTCTCTACCAAGGAAACCATTATTATTATTATCATTATCATTATTATACTAACAACACGGGTTCAAAAACAGTCGAATTTAGCCACAATATGAAGAATAATTGGCCATAGCCAGGGAAGTTGGGCCCCCGTAGATTTTATTTGTCTCTTTTCAGTAATACGCTACTCACATTTATCGAATCATGGCTTCTAACTCCATGATCGAATCTAGCACAATAGATTTCATCAGACTGGATGCTATAGACAGATTCTTATACATTGTACATATATATATTCAAATGCAAACATAGGTAAAATATATTCAAATGCAAAAACATAAAAGACTGTTTTGCTGTTTGTACGTGTTATTAGAAAAAATGCCGAAAATGATAATTAGCCCTACTTGACTGTATACACTATTATCTCCAGATGTTTAGTAATTAGGATGCTAATTTTCATTCTATCCCCTTTTCCTTTTGTACTTTGTTCAGTGGTTGTTTCCATACGTTGTACCCTGTACAATTGTCGTGCGATAAAGCTCATCTTCATCTGTTATCCTAACGGTGGACCCACTCCTCTGGTAGCCTCCATAACATGCAAAAAACTCGGGGTTTTGCGGGTCTCAAGGGTCTTTTGGAGCTTTTATGCGTTATTTTCTGATTGCATATAGACAACATAGCCGGCCTGGTTGAATTACCCCCGTTTACAACAGGGCTAATAAACAGCCGAAGACCACCAAACCCCAGTTCTACAAGCCTGCTACGGAGGCTACTCCTCTGGCCAGTGGGGCCCTATATTTGCCATATTTTACTGCCCTAATCCCCCTGAAGGCCTGATGGAGGCTACAAATACTCTAAGTGGGGCATAACTGGTACAAAGCAAGGACAGTTGACCATGTGCATGTGCAGTAAACCGTAACATGTTCTGTTGTCAGTATGTAACACTTGATGTTGCCCTGCAATTTTCGTGACTTTAGCTTTTCAAAAATATAACATTGTAGCCAGGTTTGAAAAATAAGCACGTTGTTATAGCTTCATAAATTCTCGTGTGATGAATGAAAATCTTGAACGCTTAAATGATAGCAAAATGAAAAGAATTCAACACTTAATTTACAGCTACTTGAAAGTAAGCTATCCTAGGATGATATACGGAGAAGCGTATAAAAGGTACATATATAAAACATACAGGTCCATAAGGAAAATATGGCGTTTTAATTCCTCTTGTATAAGATCGAGTTCATGATCGTATATTTGATATTCTGTCTCTACCAAGGAAAACGTTTCTCATTTGCAGCACTATATGACTGTTCAAATCGTACACAAATGCCACATGTAGAAAACTGCTTCCAAATGTTCTACCGTATGTAATTCCCATTCGGTCTTCATGTCCAGTTATTTGAGGACTAGTACTGTCTAGTATTCATTTACTATCTAGTACACTTGTAACAATAATCGCAGTTTCCGTTGCTGATTACTATTGCTAAAATAACTCGAAGCAGAATATCTTTACCGTTTACTCTTTAAGAGGAGAGGAAATCAACCTACCTTCCTCTTGCGTTCTCAACTTGAGTAGGGTCGGTCCAGAAAGTATCCAACTGCAACTGTCAATCTTCTAGCAAACCAGCAACCGTTTAAGTCCTGACTGAACACGGTTCTTCCATAAGAGCTGATTGATTAAAACTTCTCCACCCTTCACCACTGTATCAGCCTATCCGTTACACCACATGAACCGCTATACAGCTAACGGCTCTATACATACAGCTCAGCCACAGATTCGCGGTCAAAGTTCCTCTTAGAACCGTGCGAAATGGACGAATTCCAAACTTCCTGTGACCGGTGAAATTGTTAAAAGCTAACAGACGGTAATCCGGTTATGTGTACAGTCACAAGTCGACAACATATAAAAGTCGGGCATGGTTTTTACATCAAGAGCTTTCCACCATACCTCACGAGATCATGAAATACAAACAAGGTGTAAATATAAGAAGAAAGGGCTTGTCTAAAACCACTGTAAGGCCACAGCAAATCAATTTTATGGATGATCGACATCTTCCGCAGACTGCAATCTAATGCTAGCGGGTGAAAAAAAACATGGTTCCTACATTTTAAAATTTTGAATGAATCATTGTACAAATGGTTTTGATTCAGTGAGAACATCACATATACTAGTACACAGCCAACATCACATATCACTGCATCAAAGTAAGAAACAAAACACTAAATCTGAGCCTCTTTTCTCTCCTCTCTTTATAGTTATCTGCCATCCACCTTCCGGCATGGCAACAAACATCTTTGCCCATTTTCGGCATTTTGACCACTGTCAGAAGGCAACTAAATTTCTTTTTTCCCCCCAAATCAGGCCAAAATTAATGCGCGATTGATGTCATTCATAAAAATTACTTGCTGTGGCCTAAAATATAGTTGAGGGGTTGACACGGCTAAAACCGTCAGTTCTAGGGTATCAAGTATGAAGATCCCCTTTGTGGCTAGAGTTGTTTTGGCGTTAAGTCGGTAATCTTCTGACTCCTGTGAGAGTTGGTCGGAGGTTAGCATGTTCCGGGGCACGGGCACAGGTCAAGAGTGAAGACGGCTTTTTGTGGGATAATGTGGGCTTGTCGCGCGTTACGGCTAGCCTGGGTGTCAGGCTGTTGCCAGGACCATATACAGGCTAGCTACTTGTCTCCAGGGCTAGCCTGGGTGCCAGACTGTTGCCAGGCCAGGGCCAGTACACAGACGACCTCCTCGGCAACAGGGCCAACATGCCCCCGACAAAATTTTACTATAGACACCCCTCAGTTTAAGGTTGAATAGCCTGTGTACCAGACTGCTACTAGGCTAGTACACAGACTGTACCTAGTACACAGGCGATCTTTTCGGCTGCAGGGCCAACATGTCCCCGAGGAAATTTTACTGTAGACACCCCTCAGTTAGACCATGTTGTATCCAGAACCATGCTCGGGCACGGTTCTAGATAGTTCACTCGTATCCAGAACAGTGCATGAGGCAAATCTACACTATCCAGAACCGTGCCTGATCCTAACCCTGACTCATTCGTGCATACAACCACTGATTGACACAGTTCTTGGTACAATATAATAATGTTGTAAGTAAAGCCTTTACGTTTTCGACACATTGGGCTAAGTGCAGGTCACAACAAAACACGACGAGACGAAAACAAATACAACAAATAGATACATAATATTAAAAAAGGATTATGATTTTTTCTACAGTGCTGAAAGTGTATGAAATAGGAAAATAGGTTTCGTACAAACCTATGCAGTTCCTTTCCTCTCTTTGCTATACAATCTACATTCCCTGAGCAACAGAGTCTGGCCTGTGCACTGCCCCTGAAACAGTCTGACACCCAGGCTAGGCCACGGACGCTGAGTGATGAGGTCTCGTTATCGCCACAGCTCGCCCGTGAAGAAGAAAAACACAGTTTTCAGCTCCTAGGAGTAACCTCTCATTTTCTTTGGGGAGACGCGGGCGTTTCTTTTGTGATGGTGACGCCAGCGACATCAAAAGAAAACGACCACAACTGAGAGACCAGGACCACATGTGCGATCACTTGTCCTATTTTTGTTCTGTTCTCTATCAATGTGGAGAAATTACTGAACGTAAACATATGTGATGTTGTCGCCCGATTAGTACAATGATAAACAACATGTAAGTAAAGAAAACACTCAAAACACGTTCTTTTTCAACGATTCACAATAATTGTATAATTAGCTTCCATATATAGTTTGTATGCATGTGTCTTGTACATGTTTGAATTATCAGTCTATATTTTAAAAGGATCTGAACTTGCAAATCTGCCTCTTTGCCTTGTGTTGTCGCCAAGCATTTTGTATAAGAGGACCACTTGTCTAAAAAGACCACTTTGCATCAGTCCCAATAAGTGGTCGTCTTAGACAAGTTTAGCTGTAGTTGACAAGTAACAGTTTCATGAATTTTATCTATATGGTGATGCCTTAAGTTTATAACTTTTCATTGTTATGGTCTGCATGAGTATTCAAATTTGGTGAGAAATACGAAGTTACTAAGTGCACATGGCGTGTATTTGGCGTCAGCTAGCCACAGTAGAGTACCGCCTTTGTTACCAAAACATATAATTAGGGAGCCGTGCTTTTTCGTATCAACAAACAAAAAACCCACAACTTAAAGATGAAGCCCAAACATTACCATTTTCCAAATAAGAAATACAATGCAGTGAATGCCTCTTCAGAGCATTTCAGAAAGAAAGTTGACCTTTGGTAAGACCCATGTCAGAACATATATTACAAGTACAATATTTCATGGTATACTAGCATACTATTAGATACCGACAACGTTTAGATATATGCTAACACGTAAACGACTCTTGAGTTCTTTTGTATCGTCATGTTGTTCTTTTATTGTTGGATGTTAAAACTACCCATCATGCTTGACACTTCCGCTGAGGATTCTGGGGCTTCCGGATGTGTGGCTGTTCTAAGTTAGTCCACTCCCCCTGTGGAAAAGAGAACAATGCAGTCGATGCAAAACGTACTTATTTTTTTACGCAATACTATTTATAACACAATTGATAAATCATCATTACACAATATCTTGCATGTTTATTTTTGAAGGACAAAGTAAATATGTCATTTTGATACCAATACTGGAGAATGTTCAGAGTTAAAACTTTTGGTCCAACACAAAAATTCCCTCACCTAGAGCTTTCGACCAGTCCTCAGCGACGGGGGCCGACATCGTCTACCAGACACCTTTGACCCAGTGTTGACGTCACACTTCAAAGAAGCCACGTGACAAGCCTCACTGGGTCAGTCTACTGAGGAAGACCAGAGTGACTGGTCGAAAGCTCTAGGTGAGAGAATTTTTGTGTTGGACCAAACGTTTTAACTTTAAACATGTAACTACCAACACAGATGAACTTTCATGATAATACTGTAGAATGTTACGAGCAGAATCTGCGACTATTTTCTGTCTTACCTCAAAGATGGCGCCGGTAGTTTTCTGACACATGACGTCTATTGGTCCATGTCGGTAGAGTGACGTCAGGTAAGCCGTCGTCAAGGGGTTCCAGGGCAGGTGAAAAAAATCGTCTGCAACGTTTTGCTGCCTGTTTGACGCTCCAAACAGACTAGTAACAAACAAACAAACAAACAAACAAACAAACAAAACAGAACAGTAGAGTGAGATTATAAGATGATACACATTTGAGACCATGTCGACAGAAACAGACTCTTCACCTACATACTACCCAACTCTTCAAGTCAGTTTGTCTTAAATGTGTGTTAGGATCCTCAATAATGAAAAAAATACATGCATAACATTCAAGCCAACATGCAGATAGTCATACCATAACAAACGAAGTTTTGCGTCTGTGTTAATGTATTGGAACTCTATTATATGATTAAATGGGGAAATACCCCATTGAATTACATCATAGAATGAGTTATTACTCAAAGGATTATATAGCGTAACTTCAGTATTACAGCATTGTTAATGTTTTTACACAGTACACATTCCTGGCGAAGTAATAGCAGTACCATTTTATACACAACCCTGCCGATCAACTGAAACCAAATCTCCGCCCATTCACGTCCACCCCTTGCTGCTGAGGTACATACAAACTAAAATAGCACCATCCAAAACAATACTTCCGCCCCGGAAGTAAAAAAGATAAAATAGGTTTCAGTGCAAGATATCCACACAGATTCAGTTGATACCTGTATGCATGTAACATGTTACCTGTACACCACGTCGAAGAACCTGTCCAAAGCCGAGGCAGCGGCCACACTCTTACAGGCCTGTAGCTGTGAGGCGGGGTAGTAGTGGATGTAGTTCAGACACATCTCGTCATGGATACCGTACCCTCCCTGCGAACAACAATATTTTAAAATAGGCCGTTGCAGTTCTTTCAACTTTGTTGTTCAAACGAAATTACAATGTAGGAACTAATGATGTAGCAATATAAACTACTCAAGGTCACCTACAACAGATTTAAGCACATTACAGTCTTGACCTGCCATGTACTTGGACCACTTCTTGTGGGTGTAGTTCTTGTATTGCTTCTAGACCTCACTAAGTCTTGTTTCAGCACAATTTATACTGCTTATTAGATATATTTGAATTATGCTTAACCTTCTATATTGATGGCCTATTCTGTGTATTTTTATACTTGTTGTTATTGTCTATGTAAATTTTGATGTTGTATATGTGTTTTTGCATGGGGGAGGGCAGCTTGTAAAGGTGCGTATGCACCTGTTTTGCCCTCCCTTTCACTTTGTGAAAAATCATAATAAATAAATAAAGTTCTTACCAGAGTAACGCTGCGGCGATTTGTCGTGTTGTATTTACAACTGGTCATCAGGACATCCCCCTGTAATTGCAGTAATCATTTTAAAGATCATTGCTTCTTCTGTATATGTTGTCCTCGCATATATATAAAGTGTGTCATACCATATATAGTAATGGTATTATGAAATGAGTAGGTACTAGAAAAAAATAAGAAAGTAGCAAGCAATATTTGACAATTTCGACAAGTGTAGTATGGTGGTGGATTTATGCATTTAACGTAGCTATTTCGCAGATATACAAGACCACGTTGTCGTCAGGAACATACCAGTATTTACGGACAAACATTAAAAGGCCTGTCGGCACGATAAGTGCTATTCTAGATACTACCGCAGTGTGGCGCTACCAGTACGTTGGCTCCGTGGTTTAATCCAGAGCGGACGCCTCTACAAACAAAGTTTCATTCGAGGTCATTCAAAAGAGCGCAATTGGTCATTTATTACAAAGATATTGCTGTTGGCAAATAGTGTAAGAACTATTACGTAAAAAGTTGTCTTCTTACCGGGAGTACCGTTACCTTTCGCCGTAATAGTCGTATCTCCTGTAGAAATGTAACAAAACACAACGTTTTAATAAAGTTGCCCTCCTAATAGCCGGAGCGCCACCCTGCGACTAACATAAACATTGCACAGATCTGAAGCAGCCAAGTCAATTTCGGACCTGCGCCAATTCCATCAACACTGGGCCCTTCGTCTTATCCGCAGTGATGTTTGATCGATTGCTAAGGTTGTTCTGCCCAGACAGATTCGAAACACGTGCGTTCAGTCACCCCATGGGGGAAAAGGGTAATGACAATGATGTACAAGTAAATCACGGAAGTTACCGGTCATGCCATTCGTCGTACGATCGTCGTACGATCGCAAGTTGAGGACAATCTTGGGATAGTCTTGCAACTACTGTCGTGCAACATTCAGCTGTCGTGATACGGAAAAAGGCTGTCTTACATTCTTGTCGTTTAATCTTAAACTTCTGCTTGTTCTTTGTTCTGCAAACCGAACATCATATGCGAAAACCCCCAACCTGCAATATCTATTCAAACTGCAAGCAGAGATTTTTAAAACTGACGTACATTTTATATGAACTCTGCTCTTCTCCCACTCTTTCTCATCCTCTTTGTATCCCAGTTCCATCTCTGTCTGTCTGTCTGTCTCTCTCTCTCTCTCCCTCCCTCTCTCTCCCTCTCTCTCTCTCTCTGTGTTCCTCTCTCTGTCTCCCCTTGTCTGTCTGTTTCTCTGGGTCCCTTTACCTCTATCTCTCTCTGTCTCTCTCTTTGTTTCCCACTGTTTGTCTCTGAGCTTCTCTCTCCCTCGCCCCTCTCCCACCCCCTCTCCCCCTCCACCCGTCTATCGTGGCACAGGCACGTGACCTCAAACATGGTGCTGTAGTGGTTGTCTCTGTTCAGCTCAGGCAGTTCCACTCCGCCTCTCACGTGCTTAGTCCACACAGCTGTCCCTGCCAGGTGCGTGTGCAGCTGCGAGGCGAACACCTGGATGCCACCTGCAGGGAGGCCCTGTGGGAAACGCACATTCAAAGGGCGTATCTATACGGAACCACCCAAGGCGGTTTACATGTGGTTTACCCCGAAGCCGGTTTCAAGTGGCTCCATCTGAACGCTCCGAAATCACATTGAAAGCGCCTCGATCCCAAGCCACTTCTAGAGGTGGTTTCGAATCGCTTTCCCCGCATCGCGATTTGCGTCTGAACGCAATGTGATTTCAATGTGACTTCGCCTGGTCATGGATTACGGAGTGATATTTTTTTTTATATGCAATACCAACTTTTACGTGGCAGCAACTTAAAGAGCAGTAATGGTCAAATAATGTGTCCGTTCTAGGGCGAGCTTCAGCGCCTCTGGCGGGACCACGTCGGCATTCGGCCGAGATACGCTGGGAGGGGGGCATCAGCAAGCAGGTCGTTGACCTCTGACATTAATAACACGCCGCCTTGCGTGTTATCATCAAACAGCAATAAATGTTGCTCAAGCGTATTGTGTTCGGACACGGTTTCACAGGTGTGTGTGGCACGTGGACCAGATGTGAGGAATGTGAGTTACCCGAATCGCGTCTTGGGTGGTTCCGTATAGACACGGCCAAATAATAATGGAATGTTATTGAATATTTGTCCAATACATTCATACATATGATATGGTCAGATATGGTCAGATAGTCTAAATCCCTCCTGCTATAAATTTGCAACATGATGTAACCCAACACCAGTTACCATGGTGACAGACGTCTGGTTGAGGTCATTGACCTTATTGGTTTGGAGAAGAAGAAGAAAAAGAGGAAACAGAGCAAAAACAATACGTTTTCCTTCGGTAAACATAAAAAGAATGCATGCATGCATGAATGAGTAAATTGATATTTAATGTCCATCTCTTGTGTATTGTGTACTCATCTCTTGTCTATTGTGCTGCTAAGTTTATAATCAAGACTGCGCATGCACAGTGTGATGAATTGTGGGTAATATGTCAAAGTTTCAATCCCCGAGAGATAAACAAAAGACGTCTAGACATGTATAAAGAATGGCTTTGTTTACGTTTAGAGAGCCTTCTCTTTTGATACAGGGCATTCGCAGTCGTAATTGTGAAGTTCGATCCGTACGGACCCTATGTGTCTTGCATATGGAGGACATTTTTGGCGTAATCTTTAATCATATATTTATCATGTTCCAAATATATCATATCACACTTACGAACTAGTATAGTGTTAGTTTCGATACATAGAACTTATAAGCATTGATAAAGACATTAGAGTAGATATCAGTTAGATATGTAGTAGTTTTGAAGAGCTTGCCATACATTGTGCCTTCGTTACAATTATTGTGCAATAAAGTTTGGCTTTGTCTTTATTGCAAGGGCATATACATTCAATTGATCACTGTATTTCTGTACTCCTAGACTCCTAGTCTGAAGCCAAAGTCTGCATAAAGCCATCTGGATTGAGGGCACGTACAAGTGTAATAAAAACAAGATGTTAGAATTGATTGGCTCGACCTCGGCGGTACATCTGCTGGCCAGTAATCAACCGGGACTAAAAACACGTAGCCTGTGTTAGACAATTTGTTGCTGTCAGGGGCCGTTGGGCCTCATCTCCAAGAGCTTTTAGCCATACAACTCTTACTCAAGAGAACTATTCACATTCCCAAAACTGCCAATAGGAGCTCAGGATTCACTGCCAACAGGAGCTCAGATATCACGATGAAAATCAGTCCAATAGGAGCTCAGGATTCTATGTCACCATGGAAACACAATCTCTCTCTGTCAGGGGCCGATTGGGCCTCATCTACGAGGGCTTGTGGCCACACAACTCAAGGGAACTATTCACATTCCCAAAACTGCCAATAGGAGCTCAGGATTCACTGCCAACAGGAGCTCAGATATCACGATGAAAATCAGTCCAATAGGAGCTCAGGATTCTATGTCACCATGGAAACACAATCTCTCTCTGTCAGGGGCCGATTGGGCCTCATCTACGAGGGCTTGTGGCCACACAACTCAAGGGAACTATTCACATTCCCAAAACTGCCAATGGGAGCTCAGGATTCTTTGTCACGAAGAAAATCAGTCCAATAGGAGCTCAGGATTCTCTGTCACCATGGAAACACAGTCCCTCTCTCTGTCAGGGGCTGATCAGGCCTCCTCCCCGAGAGCTTGTAGCCAAACACCTCTAACTAAAGAGAACCAATCACATTCACAGAACTACCAATAGGAGCTCAGGATTCTTCATCACGAGGAAAATCAGTCCAATAGGAACTCGGGATTCTTTATCACGAAGAAAATCAGTCCAATAGGAGCTCAGGATTCTATGCCACCATGGAACACAATTTCTCGTTGTCAGGGGCTGATTGGGCCTCCTCCCCGAGAGCTTGTGAGATACACCTCTTACTCAAGAGAACCATTCTTATTCACAGAACTACCAATTGGAGCTCAGGATTCCTTATTATGATGAAAATCAGTCCAATAGGAGCTCGGTATTCTATGTCACCATGGAAACAGCATCTGTCACTGTCAGGGGCTGATTGGGCCTCCTCCCCTCCATACGCCTCTTACTGAAGGGAACCATTCACAGAACTACCAATAGGAGCTCAGGATTCTTTATCACGATGTAAATCAGTCCAATAGGAGCTCAGGATTCACATATATATATATATATATGGTGACCAGTTCAGCCCTCCCATCCTGCCAACTTGCTACATAATTTATTTCTCCTGCGAATGTACACATTGAACTAGAAATGTAACATTTGCAAAGCAAATACATGTTTACGTTTGCAAATAGTCTGCTCTGTTCAAGCATATCTCAATCAAACACATTCATATGCATGGTGACAGGAGTCTAAATCCCTTCTACTATAAAATTGCAGCATGATGTAACCTAAGACTAGTTACCATGGTGGCAGACGTCTGATTCGGGTCATAGACCTTATTTGTTATGGAGAAGACGGGGAAGAAAAAAACAGAGCAAAAACAATATGTTACCGTCTGCGAAGGTAAGCATAAAAAGACCTGACCTTGGTGGTGCATTGTGCTGGGCAGTACCCGGTGATGACGTAACCGTCCTGACGTGGAGGTATCGCCATGGACGGCAGGTAACGTAGCCCCAGCTCCATGATCCCTGCGTCGTGACGTCGCAACGTCGGCGTGTAGTGGAATCTGACGCCCGAGCTGTCCACAATGTCTGTAAAATTATCGTACAAAACTGTCAAAAATTAATATACTTCGAATGAAAGCTCATCTGTGTTTAATAGTAGAATCCACAGTTATAGAGTTTAAGTGGTGAGTTCTTTCCCTGTGTTGGAACAAGCTTAAACTCTATAACTAAGAATTAATATACTTGAACTTGTGTATTTATAGGAATAGATAAACCTGAACGTTGTACTCGTTGTAAGAGTGTTTTAATATTAACAATATCTATGACAACTTTAAGTAGCTGAAAGGCAACTAGAAAAATAGAAAATGTGGATCCATCCACACCTATTCGTCGTCTTTACACACACGTAAATATGAGCCGTAATGATGTCTAAAGAAGATACAAAACGTAAACTTTAAATGAAATTTAAACGTGTTTTAATCATTATTTACGACAGTATTTAGGCTGCTGAAAGGCAACACAAAAACCGGATCTATTCGCACCCCCAGAGAGACCTCATAACGACAATCTTTACGTACTCGTGTAAGAGATGTATAGATGCGTAAAGAAGGTATATACGTTGACTTTAAGCATGGATTAAGCATCCGTCTTCCGTCCCATGACTGGTCCATAGAAAATTACATTTCAGCTAATAACAATATGTAGAGATGTGTTGTTTGGCGCTGTTATAAAGTTATAAACTTGAGTGCAGCGTCACACTGCCCTTGTTATGTTTTGATGTTTTGATGAATAAAAAAAATTGTGTAGAGATCCTGATCTGGAAGAGTCTCTGATTCTACTGGCAGAGAAACTTCTGCCAGTACAGTCGACTCTACCAGTGTAATCTACTATTCAATTCTACCAGTAGAGATCCAGATCAGAATACCTGTCGACAAAGATCGTGATTCATCTCTACTGTATAGAATCCCCGATCCTTCCAGGTCGCGATCTCTACTGTAAAGTATGCACGAATGTATAAAGTACCGTTTCTCCGTTGTGGGTTGTTGTAGTGGATTTCTATCATGGCAATGGTGGAAGACCCCGGACCGCCCAGGGGGATTCCAGCTTCCTCTGGGTAGGCGAATGCCTGAAGTAGGTAACAAGGACAACAGGGGTGCCAGAGTGTACAGTGCAATTTTACGGAATACAGTGCAATCGTATTAATATACAGTGCAATTTTACGGAATACAGTGCAATTTTACTAGTATACAGTGCAATTTTACGGATACAGTGCAATCGTATTAGTATACAGTGCAATTTTACAAGTAAAATTGCACTATATACTAATGCGATAGCACAGTCTGTATTCCGTAAAATCGCACTGTATACTAAAACGATTGCACTGTATTCCATAAAATTGCACTGTATATTGATACAATTGCACTGTATTCCGTAAAATTGCAATGTATACTTATACGATTGCACAGTATTCCGTAAAATTGCACTGTACACCCAATGTATATTGACCCTCATGGAGCAAAAATGCCCAAAATTATGACAGAAAATGATTACTGGAAGGGCCTTGGGCTGATTTTTAAAGTACCTCCCAGAAAATAAAGGACTCAGCTTGGGTTTTTTTTCTGCAGTTTTAAAAGCCCAAAGTATAAAATACTGACTCAAATTTGCTAATGTAAAGCAGTATTGCCTTATTCAGAAATATTCCAGTTTTGCTGCCCTGAAATCGCATTGGATGCCTTTAAACTCCGATAAGGGACAAGAGTGAAGTCGAGTCGGATAGAAATATCTTGAAGCTGCTTATTACAACTGATAAAGTTTAGAATGGTGAATAACGCACCTGTGCGCCCATGGCCCACGCAGCGATGACGTGTTTACAGGTCTTGAGTTCCTTCCGTTCCTCCTCCCCCACACACGGACCGTCATACACCGCGGTACCACTCACGTCGTTCCCACACAGGAACACGGTCATGTGATGTACTGCCTCCTCGTTCCCAGGGGTAATGATGGGTTCGTACTGTAACAGTTGAATGATATCGCAACAAATGTTTAAATTTCAATCGTACTAGATAAGTGATTATGATATTTACTGATAAACGAAAAAATGATGTCTTAAAAGGTCACATTATATCATATTTATTCCCGGCATTCATCTCGGGCTGTTGCATCATGGGATTGTTATAGCATTTGCAACCAAGAATAAGAAGCAAGATTTGACTACAAAAGTAATAATCTTTACCTTCGCATATGGTCTGCTCTGTTAATTCTTACTCAAACACATCACATATATGGTGACAGGAGTCTAAATCCCTCCTACTATAAACTTGCAACATTATGTAACCAATCACCAGTTACCATGGTGAGAGACAGTCTGGTTCAGTCAGGTCAGAGGTCACTTTTTGGAGAAGAAGAAGAGGAAACGGAGCAAAAACAGTATGTTCTCCTTCGGTAAGCATAAATAATAGAGCAATAATAAAACTAAACTAAAAATATTTACCTGCAATATGTGAACCTTCTTTGGGAGTGTCGGGAGTTGCTGTGTTCTGCACCAATAGGTCGTTTCTTTTGCTGGGATTTTTGCCTAAATAACAGTATAAACGCAATAAGAATAGTCAGCAGTACGAGACTGTGTTAGATAAAAGCACTGCAGATGCAGTATAGTAGGATGCAGATTTTCAAGGCAGTGGAACATTACAAAATGGCAAAATTAACAGCATTTATGTCAAAGTCTTTGATGGTACCTGATTCACCCGGATGTCGAATGACGTCACGTCCGGCGGAAGTGGAGGAGTGACGACATCGCTCTTCAACAGTTGCAGCCGTTTGGTTCCAACACGCATGCGCATGTCGCCCAGATTCAGATCCGACACAGCAGTGATATCTTCCTCTGGTAGGATGTACAACAGGTTGGTTGTTCCCGACTATCAAAAAAAAAATAGAACCGAAAAAATCTGAGATTCCAAAGCACTGTACTTCTATATAGTCACAATTATAGGTTTGAGAGCCTGCTTAGTACCAATGAAATGGACAATTTCTACAGAAAATACTGATAGGGAAAATAACGCTACCCAAATCCACTGCGTTGCTTCAAATCTATGTGGGGTTCACTTGTTTTTTCGTTGTTCATAACATGTATGTATATTTTCACAACTAAGTACTTGTTCAGCACCAAGGAAAGGACTAGTTTCAACATGAAATACGGAATGGTAACCAGCCGAAGCAACACCCTTTTTAGAAATCTAGTCAGTTTTAACTTATAGCTTTTTCTTTCGGTGTTTAGGACATGTAGCATGTACATAGTCACAACAAATCAACAGAAACGTTTTCAGCACCAAGGAAAGGACCAATTCTACATGGAACACTGGAATAGGAAACACCAGATACCGCACGCGTTTTAAAAAAGCTATGCAGTTTTCACTTGTTCAGTGTTTAGGACATTTCGCAAGTACACGATGACAAGAAAGCAACAAAAACGTTTTCAGCACCAAGGAAAGAACCAATTTTACATGAAGCACTGGAATGGAAAACACCTAAAGCCGCAAACCTATGCTTCAAATATATGCAGTTTTCACTTGCTTGTTTGGTTTTCATTGTTCATGACATGGTGCATGTACATAGTCACAACAAAGCAACAAAAACGTTTTCAGCACCAAGGAAAGGGCCAATTCTTACATGAAACGCTGGAATGGGAAACACCCAAAGCCGCACCCTTTCTCAGAAATCTATGCAGTTTTCACTTTTTTCATTGTTCATAACCTGGTGTATGTGCATAATCACAAGTCAACAAATACATGCATGTGTTCAGTACCAAGGAAAGGACCAATTTTTAACGGAAACCCTTAAAAGTAAAACACCCAAAGCCACATTTTGTCAGTGTTGAGGACATATAGTGCATTGCATGTACATAATCATAACAAATCAACAAAAAGCGTGTTCAGCACCAAGGAAAGGCACCATTTTCTCAATAATACGTTAGTTCGAGGGTTTAAAAAATGAACTTACGTCAATAAGGTAGTCGTGGTCGTCGCAGGTGTCGAATCGGCGACTGAATGTGACGCTAACTTTCTGACCGTTGGCGGTGGAGTCAATCAGACGATAGTCCTGACTCCTGTCCGTGTGAAAACGTCCACGGTCATCTGTCCACGAATCCTAGGAAGAAACAAGGGAAATCGTAGATTTCAAACCTCCGGGTTTTTTTTCTATTGTATTGGTTTAGGTTATTTGTTTGTGTGTAGTATGAAAGTTATGTGCGTAATATGTTTGTATGTGTTTGATGGCTACTGACGGTTGGTTCGGTATGGACTGTTGATTAACGCAGTGTTCGAAATACTTTTTTGAGCAAAGTAGCACAGTGTGCTACCTAGGGACAAAAACTAGGTAGCGCAGCAGAATTTTAGGTAGCGCCACCGCCCCCCCCCCCATTTGTCAAATTCTATGCACGTGTCGCAATACTATATTTCTTCCAATCATAGAGGTATAATACCTCCATGCTCTAATAAAGTTACTATTTTTGAGGTTTCAACTCTGAAGTAGGAGCTCTGGGTCGAAGCCAAATTACGGGTGCGTGATTTATTCTGGTTTTCTACTGAGAAAAATCGGGACAGTATTTGCGCCGGGCAGCCGGCCATGTACGCGAAATGGTACGCCCAGTATAGCAGCGATCTATTCATGTTTTATGTTTACAATTGTGCAAATTTTTTTTACAGAAATTTGATCACATATGCTTAAAAATATTGTTATACTAATGTTAAAAAATATTTTAAGACACCGAATCGCTGGCTGTGATGTGCAGCAGTGTACGTACGCCGCGTAGCGTGCCAGACATTGGCCGTGCAAGCCTATAGAATGCCCCACTTGCGACATAAATTTCTGAGGCTTATCGTGCGCATCGTGCGTATCCACAATTCCCATCGTAAACGTAGTCACTGGGATCTGAAATGCATACATACAGGATAATTTCCCTTCTTCAGCGGGAGTTTTGTTTATGTTTTGATCGTACACGTCAAACTGCCACGCTGGTCTACGCTGCGCGCTGGTCTCCGGCTGCACTTCCGGGTTCCATAAATCGACACCATAAATCGACAAAGAAACAAATATTTCCCCCCAAATTTATATTAATTGTGCATTTTTTCACTAGATGTGGCTATGCAGTCCTGGAAAACAGCGTTTAGTGCATATTTTCAAACAGAAAAATCGCGTCCCCGCGCCCTTCATGTTGCCGCCCGGCGATCTCAGCTGAAGCGAACAACCAATCAGAGACGCGTAACGCGGATACGTCATGCAAGATTTGCATACCGCCCGCCCACCGCTTCTGCTGGCTGCTGCCATGCTAGCTACGCGCCGTACTTGAAATAAATTGACGTGTATCGCCGTATTTCTGGAAATAAATGCCGCGACACGAAGATCTAGCGCTGACTCGGCTTGCACCCAGCGTTCAGCGTCACCCGCGACATTACCCCCGCCGTCATCCCGCGCCGTCATTGCTGCGCCGTCACCCAACGTTTTTATCGGAACCAGACACCCCTCTGTTTGACCCCTTTTGAATGCTAAGACCCAAAACTGCAACCTCCCCATTCCTTAACAACATGGTAAATTCCATTTTCAGCATAACGGGGGTGTCCGGAGCACTTAAAAACCTTTTATTTCGACGCCCATAAACACATATGCAATTAAACAAAAACGTTCTGCATCATCTGCAGCCCAACAGCAATACGTATACCGAACAACAGACCAATCCGTCCAGCCGATCGCGAGAAACAGCTGCTGACAGAAATGTTTCGAACAATAGTAAAACCTCCTCGCGGAAGGATATCTCCTTCCCCGGAGGTAACAACACAGACAAGAAAGAGCAAAAATAATCACTGCACGAAATTTTATCCTTAAGGATGCCTTGAAGCAGTCGTAAAGGTACATTTTCTTCACTCCAGAACATAATCACAGTTTTCATGCTTTCAACTATGCTTTTTAGATTGGACTTCATGTAGGGAATGTGCCTGTTGTCCCAATTTTCATCCAACTACAAAAGAAAAAAAAAACTGCTGAATCTATACTATAATTCCTAATAGTACAGGGTTGATCACATTTGTCGTACGATCGTAGTACGATCGGAAACTGGTTGCATTTTCTGGATAGTCGCGCAAGTGTCTTATCCAATCTGTTGTCAAACCTGATGTAATATTCCGCAACAAATTCTTCCGCAATATCTGGGCCCGACTGTACTTATAGACATATTTTTTTATTGCTGTCATTGTGAGTATTTTCTATCTGTATGTTTTACATGTGCGCGTTATGCCTGAAATAAAGAATAAAGTGTACAAACCACGGCGTTGACTGAGTTTCCCTCCGTCCAGAAGACCACGAAATCCGCATTCCTCATCGTCCCGTCAGCAGACATACCCAACCCGAAACCGTTCGCAACTGCATCCGCACTAAGTTTGAAAATGACCGTCGATGCTCCGTAGTCTACTTGCCAAAGCAGCTGTACTCTGTTGCTGGTGTCCAGGGATGTGTTGTAGACGGTTAGGCCATGGCAAGTACACAGCAAGAAACAAGGTACGACGCAAAGAAGGATTCCCAACGACATTTTGTACGGTTTAGTATATGTGACAGACCACCAGAGGTTTTATACCTACGAGGGACACAAAGTGAACAATTTGCTGTGTATGACTAGAGACGACTTCAAAGTGATCTTCATTGGTAACCGCCACCCACTTTAGCAATTATGCTTTGACAATTCGGCAGCAAATAGGGTAAGTGGTAAACCTACTATTTCACATTATTGGCCATTTTGCAACAATTTGCTGCGAGGTGTAAGAAAGATCACAAGCAACAGAAAGCTTCTAAAAGGCCGAAGTTTGTCAAAATATATGAGGGCCAAATGGCAATTCAAAATTATGGTTAAAATAGTCTTACATATAACTTTCTGTTGGATAGAAATATCTTTTTTTCATTCTAAAAGAGAACAAAAATGGTTACACTAACCAAAACACTTTGTAAATCTCTATTTTCTTGTCTTTAGTTTTACAAAAGTTGACAGAAAATCAAAGCTTGATGAACAAAAGAACTATAGTGTCTTGATTTGTAAAGCCCTATCACATTGGTCAAATCATCACAAAATTCCATCGTAAGTTTTCATTCAAAACAAAATTTCCATAAAGAATGAATCAAAATATATCACCGTTTCTTTAAACATTATTTGTCACACCCTTACGTACATTTTATGGCTACTACCTTTGTATTTATACTTTGCCTTCTTCATAAAAAGATTAGAAATGATACGAATTATCACATTAGAGTAGCCGGTTCATTACGCCGTGCTTTGTCATCGACGTGTTTTACGTCTTTTGACACATTTTACGTCATTATCGCAAAACGGTCACGCCATCATGGCGGTTCTCCTTTGCGATCTCTCCCAGTAATAAGATACGTAATGGCGTGTAATCCTTCACAATTACGGAGCTAAGCGTCACAGATAACAGGATTACTTCCAAATAGCCCCTGTGATTGTAGGTATTAGATAAATCCGTCGGCGGATAAAAGACAGATAAACGCCAGAAAATTTTATCCACCCGCTAAGCCGCCATTTTAATTTGCTCATCACCTGTGATTACCATCAAATTGCATGTCGGGACAAATCGGCGTCGTAATATTTTTTTCCATTTACTGATATTGCAGCCTATATGGTGGTATATTTTCGATTTTGCACGATGTGTGAAAAATGATAAAATATACTGTTGACCTTTAGGAATGCACAAAAGTAATATTTGGGACGAGCAAAGGGCACATTATTGATCCATTTTTATAAAGGACAGGACGACATTTTTGATATGATATTCCCATCCCATCTCTATTCTATTGACTTTTCCTCTGGCTTTCTTCCAGTAAATAAATGGACGACATTGGCTTTGAGCTGATATCCCACGCCCAAGTTGAATGTAGAATGAAGTCTACGTGTTTTGTATCATGAGTATCACGATATGTTTTATACTAGAACCAGTTTGAACAAGGAACAGGATATTGTTGATCTCTTGTAAGTGTTTTAGGTTGTTGGGAAAGTATTGGGACTGTGCAGAACAATAATCTGGTATTACACCACTTTCTGAGCATGAATTCCTCACGTATTGCTCACTTAAGTCTATCTAGACTGGGATTTTTTGGGATCTTTGGGACTGGGGGGGATCATTCGGCATAAATTATGCATAATTAATGATAAAAATTACATGAAATTATATAAGATGTTATTGATATTAGAAAGCATGTGTAAATTAACATAAAAACCAGAAAAATTTCATTGTTTATGTCAAAGTACTGATTTGTGCAAAAAAAGCCTGTCAGAAACCCGTTGCCATGGCAAATAAGACGAAAAATTATCAATTTATCTCACTGCTATGTAATTTTTAGCAACAATGTTTTAGGAAAAGTCACCGACCAAGTTTGGTGGCCCTAGCACAAGCCGTTCAGACGCTATCCGACACCAAAGTTGGCGCGGGCACTTTTACCCCCCCCCGTCTAGATAGGGTTAACTTAAGGTTACTCCCACCCACCTGGGTCACCTACAGGCTTGATCTCCCTATCGATCATCTGTCAAAATCACCTCCCACCTACCATGCAACCAACGCTATTCGGACAAACTGATCTAGACACACAGACCCTGAGCTATCTAAAATAATACCCCTGTAAATAGAAGTACATTCTAAATAGTGATGGTTCTAGTTTTCTAGAATCAAGAGATGCTTACATTCAATAGATCCATCCAAATTTGTTGATTGGACTAGACAATAGAGGATATTGACGAGTGTCCAAAATTTGAAAGACTTCAATGATCTTGCAATGATCTTGCAATGATCTTTCAATGAACTTACAATGATCTTTCAATGATCTTTCAATGATCTTCCAATGATCTTACAATGATCTTTGATTGATCTCGCAATGATCTTTCAATGATCTTTCAATGATTTTAATAACCAAAGATTCCAGGGCAAAAGTATCAGGCAACTGTTTAATCTTGTAAACATGTTCAGAAGGATATTTCATTCACTTTGTGATTGACAAAGTTGGAACACTAATAGCATGGCTAGTTGTTCAGGAGTCACCGTAGTGTAGTGGTTATCACGTGCGCCTCACACGCGCAAGGTCCCCGGTTCGATCCCGGGCGGTGACAAGATTTTTGTAGACTTCGTTATCCCATCAATGTTCTAACCAGCTATATACAGGAAAGAACAAGAATTCGGAGATCTCATACCTCCATGAAATATATGAGTTTTTGTAAATTTTTTTACATTTGTCTCATTGACTATGGGAATAAGGTCGTAATTAGCATAATCTAGTTTAATTTATAGTTTTCTAAATTCTAATGAAAATATTTTTCGTGTAAAATTCCTCTCCTTTGTCATACTTCATTTTAAGATGTCCTCATTAATTATGCAAATGACCTTAACGTTAACATAATATATGTATAGTGGTGTTAACCTTTAAGTAACGCAATTCTTTGCCCCAAGTAGCCTCTAATAAACTACTTGTATTATAACATATCTAACTGTATTTGTTTGTTTGTTTGATTGTGTGTCCGTAATTTTACTTGAATAAAGACTGACAGGAAGGTCGAATTGGTCGTTCGTTGCCATCCATACTTAACGAGCATAAAAAAGTCCATACTTTAGGAGCATGAAAGCAAACTCCACTCAGACAAATATATGTTTATTGTTTCATATCATATCACAATAGCAGTCATAAAGAATGTCTACTATTCACCTGTTCCTCGTAAAAGTATCAGTAAAATGAGAAAGCAAGCTTCATTAGAGCCATAATTTATACTTTGTCAACGTATCTTTTTACAGCATATACACGTCTTGACATATGATTTCACATCGAAGTAGATATTTTTGCCGGGGGCCACAAGGCTTTGTATTGAGTTGGGCGGTTGGGTGTCAGATACGTCACAATATGAATGAAAACCAAGCAGATATCAGGAGGGAAAGACTGACCGAATGAAACAAGAATTGATGCAATTCTTAACTACTAATAGACTATTACAAAATATTTCTTATCCGTTGGAAAGAGCTCATGAGACATTACAATTGTGCATCCAGTCCAGTCTTTTTAGCAGAATCGAAGTCCAATTCAAGTCGCCAAAGTTACCAATTATTTAAGTCCCACATCGTTACCATACTCACGACACCCAACCAGCTATTCTTATTTTGGCTCCCGGCTAGATTTTTAAAAAGCATTCTTGTATTTTATGTAGCAGATAAAAATCCAGATGTATTTGTAGATTGTTTTACAACATGAAAACGGACCGACTTGTGCCATATTTTGTAAGACAGATTTTATTTCATCTAGATATTCAAGCTGCATAGCCAAACGAAGATGTCAAAATATCCATAACGTTGCGCCGAGGTTTTTAGTAATATTTCTGTACAGACACATATGATGACTTGTAGTATTTCTTCGGTATGTTGAAACAGTAGACCCATCCTCCGTGTCCATCACAATTAGCAGTTCAACCAATGGCAGTATGGCAATTACCGGTTCGACCAATGAGACACTGGCTCCATGTTCAACCAATAGCAGTATGGCAATAATCATCGGTTCGACCAATGAGACGTTGGCTCCATGTCCCTAAAACATTTGTATTTCTAGGCTTTGACGGATGAGGGCAGAGCTATGGGATATGTGTATTAATGATAGCGGTACGTGTAATTTATAAGTACTGCGTCGGCCATGGCATCAAGGAGTCACCAATCAAATTCTCACAGACAATAAAAACGAGGACAGTGTAAAGGCGAGAGGGTGTGCAAGGGTCTGTATCGTCCCGACAGCAAGCCGCCAGTCATACGGCAGACACGTACAGACTTCCCGACCGGCATATTCTTCCTTGTCGGGCGTTAGTCGTGCTACTAGTCCTGTCGTTAAGCCCGTGGTGTGTCCTGTAGATGTGTGGGAAGTTCTTGTCGTCCTCCTCGGACGGGCAACACGCGTCACAGTGCTCCTTCAGACGACAGCAGCACAGGATGATGATGATGACGATGAGCGTCAAGAGGGCCAAGATGGAGCCCGCCACCAGGATGATGGTCATGATCCCTCCCATGATGCAACGCGCTCGAGTGACTCGATTCTCTGCAAAGGAACGACACAAAATTAATACACCAGCTTCACAAAGGTACAAGGATACCAAACCCAAGGCCACAAAAAGTAATTTGCATGGATAACGTCCTCTGGAGACACTAAATCTAATGCGAGAGCGCAAAAAAAAGTGGGGCAAAAAAACACAACATGCCTATAGATTGTGTCCATAACTACAAAATGGAAACATCTGCCAACAAGACTGGCAATGAAAACATACATTGCCATGGCGATGGTGGTTGCTGTTAGGGTTATTGTTTGCATGACACTGCCATGATTTAATGATTTTGAGGAAGCCTTGTACCCTACCCTGAGTGCATAGTGAACGAGCCCCGGGGTCACAGAAAATACAAGGTTCTCCCAAGGTTTCCAGGAATGTGGGCATGTTAACAAACAAAGATGGCAGGCATTCCTGTGGATATTCCATGCCTGTGTACAAAATTCCTGTACAATTCCTAGAATTCTTGCAAGCTGTACCATTAGGCTCCTCCCTGAGACGTCGCCAAAAAGGGAACATATACGAAAAACAGTTACGACTACAATGATGTCTTCAGCAGCTCAAGTTAGTCCTACCCACAAAACGGTAATGATAATTGTGTAGACTTAATGGGCCATAACTAAGTCCTGTACACTGATTACACTCGTCCCTTATTTGTTCTCATCAACGTTCTACCTCATAAAGTGAAGGCTGAAGTGCGGGAACGTTTTGTAAATCCAATTACGACAATGCCGTTAACTGAGTTCGTTTGTAATCACTTGGGTCTACCGGTTTGTTTCAGTTGCAAGTGGAAGCTTATGTTTATAACGGTTTTATCAATCAGTGCTTTTACAAGTACTGACAGGGCTCGAAATACCGGGTACATGTGCACCTTATTAGTCACCCAAATGTGGAGCTGTGCACCCAATTTTTTTCTATAGGTGCACTGGTGTTTTTCTTATGTTTAACGTATTTAAAGATGTTAAAAGTATAGTAGTTACAGCATATTCTTAACATCTAAGAAAACAATAAGACAATTTTTGTTATAGTACTTTTCTTGAAATGAAACATGATTATAGTTTTTGCAGACATTCTACTTATTTTATCTTATATGCTGCACCGAAAATACTTTTTTTAGATTGGGTGCACCAGTGCACCTATTCCCAAAACTGAATTTCGAGCCCTGACTGATGTAGCGAGATACATTGCATTATCTATAATGGTTAAGGGTTTTGTTTTGATTGTCGATTGCTTTTGACATACTCGAATACGCAGTTTATTAAAGAACATCGTAAGAAAGACATAAACATGTACTCTTGGAAAGAATCGTATTGTGATGAGGCCACTGATTCCCTCGCTCATTAAGTTTAGGTCTATAGACATTCTTTGAGAAAATATAATTATTAGCTGTATGTTACGAACCCTAATGGCAGAATCTTACATGATCTAGGTTCTAGGAAATTCATTTAATTGTGCTGCATGCTTACTAATGCATGACTAAACTGTAAAACGAAACATCAATATACATGGATAAGAAGTGACAGGAATGTCCCAGAAATGACACGAATAAGAGTCAACTTTCTGAATATAAATTTTGAAAAATGGCTGTGACACCCGCAACCAAATGTGCATGTATATCGCATCCAGAACCCTGCCTATCCAGTTCTATGCCTGTATGGGTTAGGGGTAGGATCAGGCAAGGATCTGGTCTCCACGTATCAGAAACACGATTCTGGATCGTCTTCAAGTATCCAAGTATGCCGCAAGCGCGGCTCTGGATACGCGAAGACTATCCAGAACCGTGTCTGCATGATAATCACTGCACGAAATTGTATCTTTAAGGACGCCTTAAACCATGCGTAAAGGTCCATTTGTTTCCCTCTAGAACATTTACGCTGATTACGCATGTGCTTTTAACTGTGCTTAAGGATTGAGTTTCTTGTAGTGAATGGTCTTTGCATTGATAAAGCACGATTCATTTATTCGTTTCAATTTAGAGACACCTGGGTTGCTATATCTCCAACTTCCTCATGAACTCATTTCCAATGAGGCACAGGAAACAAATACATAGTACAGGGCGTAAAATCATATGAGTAAGTAACATAACGTAGATTGTGAACTGTATATGAAATTAACCCTAAACGTGCCAATATTCCCTGTCTTTGACGACGTTTTTGAATGCTAAATTTGCAGCATCGTAGACGTAGTTTCGTCAATGTAAGGTACATTTTTTTGACACGCAAATGATGCCATATACAGCCTCGCCATTTTTACGGTACACCTACCTGTATCCTTGTGATTTTTGATGTTGTCTTGGTGAAGAGAGGACTCTGGTCTGCATCAGAACTCCGTCTGTCTGGCTGGGCGGCCAGGACTGCTGCTGGTCTGGCTTTAATGATCACCTACAGAAGACAAAGAGCTGCAGTAATCAACTGACTGATAGTGTACTCGTCTGGTATCTTATCAGCAATGTAATTATCTAGTGTTCTAAAGAAGAGTGATTTGGAGCAGTAAAATGACCCTTAGTGCGTAGTTCTTACTAGAACCGCTAAAAATGGCAAACGTAACGTTCTACCGTAAACTTTTGCTTGTAAGGCCATGTTGATTTGATTATATGGATGGCATCCTCTGGGAACCTCAAAACTGATGCGCGCGTGCGAATAAAAAAGTTTTGCAAAAAAAAAAGTTTGAAATCTATGTGGTTATGAAGATTGAACAAATGACACAGAGTATGGTTTGGCGAATAATCTAGTCTTCAAATTCATTTCTTTACATTTTCGTCTTTTTTCGTTTGATTTTAAAATTCTACGACGGTGTGGCTTTTAGTCATAATAAATTTTTTTTCTAACTTACGGTATATTTTTGCAACTGTTTTGTACGATTTACAGTATGCTTGAAAACTTTTTTTTGGCAACGGCCGAAAATTCAAGCGCGCGCCAGATGTCATCCATATAATCAAATCAACATGGCCTTAATATACTCTGTGGTTTCAATGATAAAATATACATTTTTTTCATAAAAAGTAGTCAGATTTTCAATAAGATACGCTTCTTGTCAGAAACTGAGATGGTTCAATATCCAGATTTGTTTAGAATACATGTTTAGAAACTATGTGTGTGGCAAATTTGGTGAGTTTAGACACATTTGCACAATTTTTCATCTATATTCAGACGGACTTAGTCCTATGTATTGCAAAAGAACGTTATGAAAAGGAAAAATTCATAATCCTCATGAAACTCGATAACAATCGTACTATAAGGTCCACATGTTCTTACATTTACAACTGTCTTAAGAAGCGAGAAGAAGCAGAACCTGTACATATGTAGTTTTACTTTACTATAGATATATTTTAGTCTACCATCGCTATTTGCCGTGACCTGTATAGTTCGCAATGAGCAAAAATGTACAATTAAGGTCTTTCTTATTGATTTATTGTTATGATTCTCCGAATTTGGCTGAATTGACGGCCTTTCCCTGCATTTTATTGAGGACACATGACCTCCGACATAAGAGGTTTCAGTCATAGGCCGAAGGTGCTATATTATGCTAGTTTTGCAATTCTCCGATCCCTTTAAGTCATGTAAGTGCCCTTGACCGTGCTAACATCATACCAAGCCCACATCCGCTATTCCATAATGCAGAGAGTAAGGTTAAGAGCTCAAGGCTATAATTACCTCCATGAAAAATGGAGGTATTGTTTTCGATATGTCGGTGTGCGTGTGTCCGTGCGTGTGTCTGTGTTTTAGCATGGCCCTTATATCAGGTTGTAATGGATATGGTTGTGTTCAGTCATTTCCAGAGGGACAAAGGTATCAATCATATCTAAATCTGGTAGCACTCGTTGTGTCCACAGGTGTTTTTCATTACATGACCTCCTTGACAGCTGACAGCTGGTGTTGTTTCCCTTGCACGATAAAGAAAGACTTGTAGACACCATATTGAATGAGAAGAGGAGACAGTCACCATCACACAAGATCCAAATATTTTATGGAGGTCTGAGATCTCCGAATTCTTGTTCTTATGGGTTTGCTACAATTAGAATAATCCATTCAACGAGTTGATTCCCTTAGCTTTCCGTCCAACAAGTCAAAATATCCGACCGGAAAAATGTTTTTAAGGTTAGAGAATTACTTGTGCATCGCATGCCGCCTAAACCTCGCATCAAAGCAAAACATGAATAGAATACAAAATGGCGTCCGCCATCTGCTATGACCTCTAGGGCACAGTACGGCCGCGGTACCATACAATCAACCATCCAAACTCCTACTTATCTTACAATCTGCAGAAGACGTGGTAGAGCTTCAAGGCAACCATGGAATCCCGGAAATGTACAATTATAGTTTTCAAGGAATGTTTTGTGACAGAAAGATACAGTCTATGAGTAGAGTATGGGTTGCATTTGACATTGCAGTTGAAGTTGAGATATCTGCAGCGCCCGTTATATATTGTTGCACACTTCACAAAGATGAATAGTTGGTGTGAATACTAGTATATATCAGCTCTCGCGAGGTACATACTGTAGGCACAAACACAAAGATACAGTCTATGAGTAGAGTATGGGCAGCATACGACATTGCAGTTGACGTTGAGATATCTGCAGCGCCCGCTATATATTGTTGCACACTTCACAAAGATGAATTAGTTGGTGTGAATATATATATCAGCTCTCGTGAGGTGCATACCGTAGGTACACACACACATACACGGCATTTTTTCTATTCTAACATTTATTACAAGACATGGCGAAGGTACACTCAAGCTTTTTGTCAGATTTAAATCTTATTAAATTTACATAAAATAAATAATTAAGACAAAATTAACGGACAATAGACATATTCATTTTAACCTGAATAAAGTGAGGAAATCCATGTAAAGTGCCTTTCCTACCACAAGATCGGTGGTATGGCAGGATTCGAACTCGGGACCTCTAGGTTCCAAGCCGAACGCTCTGTCGTTACGCCACACGACCCCACTGCACACGGCATTGCAGTTGACGT